CTTAGAGAGGGCTGTAAAAGCACTACAAAGTGGTATATAAATCTAAGTGTTATTGTTATTAACAATTCAATGGAATAGATTCGGCAAAGAAAATATGTGACTGGACACTGTGCACTTATTGAATTGGAAATGGGTATCCATAACTCCAAATCAATACTACACCATACTAACTTGTTTTGATCTGCTAATTTCCCATTATCTTCTCTTTCTAAGACAAATAGCATTTTCCAGTTTTTGATGTTTAATCAAAGTGGACAATTATATTTCTACATGATATATACAGGAAATGAGCTGTGGATACCCTAGCCCAGTGGTTCTCAACCTGTGGCCCGCAGACACCTGGGGAGGGGGCTGTGATGTCATCACAGGGGGTCTGCAAAGATTTGAAGAAATGTTATGATTTCAATCTTGAGTTAAGACTTGTGGGTCCATGGCTACAAAAGATATTTTAAGGGGATCCGTGGCGAAGAAAAGGTTAGGAACCACTGCCATAGCAGTCACATAGAGTGGTTGAGAACCACTGCCATACAGTCACAAAGAGTGTGAATTTTCAAAAAAACAAAGAAATACAGGCATGTTCCCCGAAGAATTCACTTTAAACAAGGCCTTGTTACTAAATACGTATAGACATACCTGGTCCACAGTCACCAGCATCAAATCCGCAAGAGGGAACGTTGCATGCCTGATCACAGAATTTGTCAGCCAGCCATGAATTTGCACAGCCTTGGTTGCAATAAGAAACTCCACTTATTCCTGCACCAAATTGCCAGGCGGGGACATTTCCTATACCTCCAACAGCTCCAGCACCAGCACCGTAACGGCTACCCACACTGTTACCTTAAAAAAAGGGGGAAAAATGGCAGTGCCACATATTGCCAAGGTGGAAAATCTTAAGTAAAAGAAAAAAAAGGGATGATTAAAAAGTCTAATTGTGGCTTAACTCTTAAACTATGAACTGCTTTTATATATTTAAAAGTAAAATGTTTTACAGGTAACCCTTGACTCATTTATTTATATTTATTTCTTTATTTGAAAATTTACATTGCTGCCTATTTGAACATGGCAGCTCAAAGCAGCTTACAGGATGTGTGTGTGCACACACAAGCACACACACACATGCACACACACACACACACATTCTAATAAAAGAAAATAATCAAATAATAAATTAATATAATAATATAATAGCCCCCTCACCCGGGCAACAACACATCACACCAGCCATCCAATGGGCTCCATCCTACTCTGGGTCCCATAGGGCCGCTGGCAGAACCTTATGACCGCAATTGAGCCCAAAATAACTCATTTTGGTTGCAAGTGGAGTCATCTCATGACTGGATTCAACCATTGTTAAGCTAATGCCACCGTTTTTAAGGAGGCAGAGATCATTATGTGAATTATATTTCCTCAATAGGGTTTTTTTTGGTCAGATATCAGAAGTAAATGCTGGGAACCAGGAAAAAAAAGGCTCAAACATCTGATAACAGGATGCAGCAAACAGCCATAAAGATGAACTGGTTGCCAAATGCTCAAAATGCAGCCACTTGGTACTGTGGGAGGGGTGCGCGGCCTTGCAACTCAAAACCAGACTGGGAGTAGGGTTTCTAGGGAACTCGTCATAGGTTTGAAAATTCATTGTGCAAGTGGTTGTTGGTGAAGGGTTAACTGTGTATAGAAAACAACATTTTCTTAAAGCTTTCAATATTCCAAGTATCAA